CCACTGTTGTATTGAGATGGTGTTGAGACAGTACTCATTTACTGGGTGAATAAAGGAACTGTTTAGATACCGGTGTGTTCTAAAGTCCTCCCACACTTTAACAGTCTTAAGATGAGTCTGACTCATCAGCCTTAATGTCCAGAAACAAGGAGCATGGTAAAACTTGAGTTTGTATTCACGAAGCTCTCCATCTAAGGCCTTCGACATAGCTGATCACATTAGCCACATCAGGGCACCAAAGAACAAACCTGATGTCCCACGTGTTTGTTTTGCTGTAGGACCTCAAGGCAGGAGACACCCAAGAAAAGCCTGGTCTTAGGGAAGGTAGTGTCTGAGTAGAAGCGTCCTGGTTTCATGGCTGAGGCCAGGAGACACCTTATTGCCCAGAAAGGAAGTTGCTTTCCCCTTCAAGGCTAGAAATGGAGCCCAGGGTCTCCTGCACATTGGACAATTGCTCTGTCTTTGAGCTAAACCCTCAATCCCATGGTCTTTCTTTTGAGATTTGACTAAATTTGTGTTTCATTGTCAGATCTATTTTATTTTATCTTATCTCACTGTGTAGGCTTGGTTGGTTTGGAACTTGCTAAGTAATCCAGGCTAGCCTCAGACTGAACTCAACAGAGATTTGCCTGCCTCTGCCTCTCTAGAAAAGAGACTAAAGACCTGTGCTCCTCCCCACATACCCCTAACACCATTACCCTCATGTTAGATCTTTTTCAATAGAAGCCCTAGGGTAAGAGAAGAGAACTCCCACTTGCCATGGAGCAGAATTCATCTTAGGGCCTTGTTTTAATAACAGAGTGGGAAACAGTTTTTTCATTAGTTCCTGAGGGTGACACAGAATAGAGGAAGGTTAGGTTGAGCCACAACTCAGCCCTGCAAAGACCTTCCAAGTACATGAAAGGTCAATCAGTTAGAAGTATTTTCCTGGTATCTGGCAGGAGACTTGCAAACCAAGGACCGAGGAATAGGATGTGAATGCAATAAAACTGGGGTGGCTAGGTGTTAAAGAGAACTCACTTAGAGGTCTGAGGGTGTTTTTAGGGACCTGATTTATCATTTGTCTAGGCATGTGTCAGGTACCAGACCCTGGACCACAAGCAGTTTTGAAAATTGACTGAGGCATAATGAATGAATGCCAGGAGATGGAGACAGTCTGGAAAAGCAGACTGTAATAACAAGAATGCAGCAACTATGGTTAGTACCATAACAGATGGCCAGAAAAGGCATTTTCAAGGATGCCTTGAAATGTGGCTTTATTATCGTTTGTGTGCATGTATGCATGTTCATATGGACACAGGTACACCTGTGTGTGTAGACACTCAAGGTCACCTTGGGTGTTGTTCCTCAGGAGTTGTTCATCTTGTTTAATATGTTTGTTGTTTGTTAGTTTATTTTGAGGAAGGATCTCTTTTTGGCCTAGGACTTGCCAATAGAACTAGGTCGGCTGGCTAGAAGCTCCAGGGATCCCATGTATCTCTGCCTCCACAACACTGGGGTTACAAGCACAGGACTCTGAGGGCTGGGCTTTCAGCATACTGGGGGACTGAATACAGGTCCTAATGCCTATGCGACGAGCACTTTATCAACACAGCCACCTGCCGGGCCCCTGAAGCTTACTTTGAGGTCTCACTCATGAGCAGCAGTATATTAAGGAAAAGCATTGACCGGAATATCACGCAGGTCTGGACTCAGACCCTAGTCACCGATCCTTAGCTACTTCATCTCTCTGAAAATCAGTTTTCTTGCCTGTAAAAATGGCATGAATGATCCTTCTCTGATGGAGCTGGGCACACAGATTAAAATTAGCCCATTTATGGAAAATTTCTAGCCCATACCCCAACCCAGAAAGATCCTGAGTTTGTGGTAGTATGTGTGGCTTTCTGGATATAGCTTTACCAGGAAAATCTTACCCCAAATGGGACACAGGCATTCCCGCTGTTTCATCTGCATCTTCCTCCATTGTAAATTAAGAAATTATGGTTCTGTTTTTGGGTTAGACACCAAACTCTTATAATCGAGGTAGCCTTTTGTAGCGATATATTCGACTGGGCATCTGTAACAGTGGCCACACCTTTTGGGCGTGGTTACAGGTGTGGACTTGACTGGTTAAAGGGAAAGGATGGGGCTGGGAGGCGAGAGGAGGTGGAGCCTGAAGTCGCAGAGAGCATCCAGGAGGTAGGGCTGTGTCCTTAGAGCTGGAATGCCGCTTGTTGTTTTCTATGTAAATTCTTCCACCAATAAAACTCCACTAATCATTCATACTGGGTCTGGTGAATCCTTAATTTCCACACCTTCAGCCTTTCAGAGCCAACTTAATCCAAACTTCACTGGCAAAATGAAGACTTTTTCTGGGCTAATACCCAGCACCTTCCTGTAGTTTATTCCCAACTTCAATAAGAACTAGGATGCTTAGCCCGGCAGTGGTGGCACACATCTTTAATCCCAGCACTTGGGAAGCAGAGACAAGTAAGTTTCTGTGAGTTCAAAACCAGCCTGGTCTGCAGAGCTGGCCACTTACGGATTCTTATTCTCAGCAGTTCTAATGTGAACTGTCAATCAGTATCTAGTGTCCCTTATTTAGTTTTGCCCCCTCCAGTTTTTTAGATGGATACATGCCCAACCAATTAGTTATATTCATCCAACTGCTTTGACTATTGTTACAACAATCAGACTATAACTACCAAACACACACACACACACACACACACACACACACACACACACACACACACGTATGTATATATTGCCACCCCTGGAAATTAGGATATACTTCCCTCACCATCTCACTCCACCCATTGCTAGAATTGGCTAGAGCAGCCATGTCAGGCTCAGAGATGGAAACCTCTTGAGCTAAAAGGAAGTTCTGGACTCGTTTGTGTATGATAATTCGAACTATGATTTGGGAAAGAACAGATGAAACTCATGTCCTACTTAATCCACTATACTTTGAGATAATGTTCTTTTTTTTTTAAAGATTTATTTATTTATTATGAATACAGTGTTCTGCCTGCATGTGTCCCTGCAGGCCAGAAGGGGGCACCAGATCTCATTACAGATGGTTGTGAGCCACCATGTGTTTGCTGGGAATTGAACTCAGGTCCTCTGGAAGATCAGGCAGTGCTCTTAACCTCTGAGGCATCTCTCTAGCCCCCAGGTAATGTTCTAATACCAGCTTAGATTATATTGTAACCATCACTTAGTATTAATTCTAATGCTAAGACATAATATGAACTCTAAATTTGAGTGACATAGTAGGGAAGTACCTAGCTTGGGCCCCAAGATATAATAGTTGCTCAATAAATTTGGATATCAGTCCTCCAATTTCTAGAATCTGAATTTAAGAGATTTAGCAATCTATTTATTGTATGCTCAAAGTATGAAAATTATATGCTAAAAATGATGCAGTATTCAAAAAGGAATAATATGGTTCTGCTACGGCAGGCAGTTATGTGATGGGGGAGTAGATTCTTTATGTTTCCGTCTAACTCCTTTATAAGAATTACATTGTTAATGTAATAAATAGGATCTCAGTCTCTGTTGCAAATGGCAGAGATGGCTGTGGCTTCTGGAAGGCCCTTGGTTACTGTACTGTCACCTACTCTCAAGTGTGAAGTATCCTCCAAAAACAAGTAACATTATCTCAAGTTTGAGTCCCACCATTTAAAAAATGACACATTGGGGTCAGTGAGATGGCTTAGTGGATAAGGGTGCTTGCTGCCAAGGCTGATGATGACCTGATTCGATCCTCAGAACCCACAAGGTGGAAGAAGAGACTTGACCACTGACCTCCATGCATGCCATGTCACATTGTGTAACCTCCTCCACTAAATAAATGCGAAAACAAAAATATCACATTGCTGCTAGAGCAAGAGTTTCCTTGGTGTATGTGTTACAGTTTGCATATTTGGAATGTCCTCCACAGGATCAGGTGTTTTAACACTTTATACCCAGGTGGTGGTGCTGTCTGGGGTGGTTGTATCATCTTTATGAGGTGGAAGCTAGCTGGAGGAAGTGAATTTCTGTGGGTGAGGGGCATGAAGTTCATACGAAGCTCCTATGTGTCTTTACTACCTTGTTGGTGCCCTGGCTTTGACGCCTGCATGCCACCTTGCCTTGTCACCATGACAGATTACATCCCTTCCAAGCATGAACCAAAATAAGTTCCTTCTCATCAAGTCATGCTGTTGAATATTTTGTCGCAGCATTGAGAAAAGCAACTGGTACAGCATATAGTTATACTGTTTTAGCACACACATCAGAGCATGCATTCAAACTTTGCGTGCAATTGTTGCCTTGTTAATGACTGGTTGACCAAGTTAGTGGGGAGTGTGATGTGTTAGAAGTAAATGAATACTATAGGGTGCAGAGTGAACAACTGTCCATTATGGTGAGAAAGGAGATCCCATCTCTGACCCACCAACCCCTAGAAAACACACAACAGCCAAAGTGCTGACTTGAACAGGATGTGGACTATGTTAGGTCAAGGATTCTGGACATTAGAATCATCTGGGAAGTTTAACCAGTTTTTGCATACTCTGTTCAATTAAGAGCACACATACCAGACCTTTCATATCCAAATTTTCTACTGATCTGGGGTATGGCTATTGGCTCTCCAGACTTCAACATGCAACTAACCTAATTAATTCAAGCCCAGGATCTTTCTAGAGTTTACTAAGATACTGGGAAATTCCAGAATGGATTTCTCAGGTGTATTATGTCATCTCTGTAAATTACAAAAGCAAATAAAATCCTATCTTTGAACTGGTGAGATGGCTTAGCAGATAAAGGGATTTGCCTTTAAACCTGAAGACCTGAGCTAGATCCCTAGAACTTATACTGTAGATAGAGAGAACTGATTCCTATGAGTTATCCTCCAACTTCTACACACCTTCTGTGGCATGTTTGTACACACACACACACACACACACACACACACACACACACACAACTTACTTATGTAAATATAATTAAATTAAAAGAAAAATCCCATCCTTTCTTTTAAGTATTCTGGTGTGGAAGAAACAACCCAAAAATGAAAGTCCCAGCAGGAGTCCAAATTGTGACCTCTGTAAGATCTGCATGGATCTGGCACCTTCTGGGAACTGCAGATTCTGAAGACGCTACAGGAGAATACTCATCCCAGAGCTGGGACAGCCAGGCACCACAAGCCTGCCCCACTAACAAAGTCTCCATTGTCAGAAAGGATGAATGATTTGGGGCTCAGATCAGTGCCCAACTGGTGCTTGAATGCCCGGGCCCAAACCTAGCCCTTGTTTACAACCGATGGTTGTAGATCTGAATTCCATTAGAAATTAAGGAGACTCCATCAAAATGGAAAGTGATGTTCCTCTAAAGCCCTTACAACTTACTGGACAGAAAGAATATGACTTTGGGATTCTGGCAGGTGAGCTTACACATGGAGGAGTATTCTCAGCTACTATGCAGAACATTGTCCCACAGCTTTGGCACCTCCTGGGCTCCTTATTAGCTGTGGTGCCTGTGGACACAACTGTGCCCAGCGAAGTATCAGAGATACTCAGTGGACAGGCTGTTGCCCAGCATAGAGGGTGGGGCCAATAGAGAAAGTCTCAAAGTGGTGATTAGTTAAACTTGAGCTCTACTAAAGGGAATGGCCACAGATCCTTGGGCAGTGCTTCAGAGCTTGGATGCTATTCTAGTTTCCTTTCTGATACTGTAACAAATACCTTGACCAAAAGCAATTCAGTTTATTGCAGTTCATAATTCCAGGTTCATCGTTGAGGGAAGGCAAGGCAGAAACTCAAGGCAAGAAGTTGAAAGCAGGCATGCTTGCTATTCCACACAGCATGCCTCTGATCAAGAAACTAACTTCACAGCCAAAGAAGTACAGAAGGACCCATGGAAGATATTTCTTTCTTACTGGCAGGCAGGCTTATGTTCAAATAACTTTCTCAAATAGTCCAGGACTAACTGCCGAAGGAATGGTTCCTCCCACTGTGGGCCTGGCCAGATTGCCCCATATAAATTTATAATCAAGACACTCCCCCATAGACTTGGCCACAGACCAATCTGATCTAGGCAATTTCTCAGCTGAAATTATTTCTAGGCTGTGTTGGGTTTATGGTTAAAGCCTATCAGAACAGATTATTTATGATATTACCTGGTGAGAAGTCTGGGTGGAAGGGCCTGAAAAACCCTGACAGACTCAAAAGAGTAAGTGCCTCCTTGTTTGCGCTCAAGCTCATTGGATGATCGGCCTCTGAAAAGATAAGGAGACATTTAAGTTGAGAAAGGGTGCTGGAGTTGTTCTGAACTCCAGGTCAACTCAGTGTCAGATCCAACCTGAAGGAAACCTGGGCTGGGGATCTGGTGATAGGTTTAAGTGGTGGGTGCTTTGTTGTGAAGAATTCTGCTAGTGACTGATATAGGCAGGAATTTTGAAGGGCCAAGTGAAGTTTCTATTCCTTCTCAGAGTCTGTTCTCTGCCTTCTTTCTCCTGCCTCAAGAGGTTTAGCTAGGATAGGGACCGAGTCACACAGGCCAGACTTTGTGAAGGGAAGCCATTTTCCAGCTTTCCATTAGCAAGGCTGTGAGGAGTATGCGTTTTCAAAGACAACAACGGTTAGACTAGTGCTTCCTCACTATGGAGGAATGTCCCAAAGCATGAGGGGATTTAGTGGATCTTTCTGAATATCAGAGCAGTGTTTTTGTGCTCCCTGATCCCCTCCCCACAACTAGGTAGGGGACTGAGGCACACTGAAGTACTGCAAGGAAGGAGACAGGAATGACATTAAATGTGGCCTCCTCTAGTCCCCGCAGCCATCCCAATGAGATGTTAGTGCCAGTGCCATGTACTGTTAGCTTTTGTCTATGACAAAGCATCTAAACAACACAATATAAGAGAGGAAAGCTTTACTTGAGCTGTGGTTTTCAAGGCTCCAGTCCGTCATGGCAGGAGGGTGAGGCAGAGATGACCAGCCACCTCAGCAGCCAGGGATTGGAGTGAGAGTGAGCGCCCAGAAAGTGAGGAAATGAGAATTCGTCACTAGTGGGTCTCCTCCTCCTCCCCTCTCCTCTTTCTGTCTGTCTTTCTCCCCCCCCATTCCCTTTGGGACTCTAGACCACTGGATGGTGCCACCCTCATTCAGGACACATTTTCCCTTGTTTAATTCTTTCTGGAAATGTCCTCACAGATACACTCTGATGTCTACTTTATTAATCTAGGCCAGTGGCTCTCAACTTCCCTAATGCTGTGATTCTTTAATACAGTTCCTCATGTTGTGGCAGCCCTCCCAACCATAACACTATTTTCACTGCTACTTCATAACTGGAATTTTGCTACCATTACAAATCCTAATATAAAGTATCTGATAGTCCCCTGTGAATAGGTTATTAGACCTGCAAAGGGGTCGAGACCCAGAGGTTGAGAACCACTATCTAGGCACTTCTCAATCCAATCAAGATGATCCCACTGCACCTGCTAAAGACTGTGTGGCTGGAATTGGCACAGCATAGATTTATCATCATGTTAGCTAACATCCCATCATCACCTTTCCAATGGCACCATTGAGCAGTCTTCTGAAGAAGCCATGAGACAAAGGTGTGGGAGATCTCAGAAGTGGGGCATTGTTAAATTGAGGTGAAGGAGACAGGCATGTCTGATGCGCTCTTTGAAAAGAACTGGAAATAATTTTCTCCCTTTTTCCTCTCTCATTTCGCTGCTGCAGCTCCCATCTGCATTATTTTGAGATGAGCACTGGGGTCACACCTCCTGGAGCCATTCTGAAGGAGACAGTCTGAAGCAGAAGCAGCAGCATGTGCTCTCGTACTCCACAATGTCACCTTTGTTTTATACGCCCCAGATGTTGCAGGCCCGGACTTGAGAGCATTGTCTTCTTCCTTCTCTTTGGCCTGATTGCCCTTCGCCCTGGGGAGAAGGAGGGGTGATGACTGCCTGAAGGGTGGTCACTCTACCCCCTTTGGTAAGCTCTAGTCACAGTGCTAAAGAAAACTTACAGCGTGTTTTTATCTAGTGAGGAAAACATGTTATGTTCTGCATTCTTGCATAACCATGAAACATCTGGTGTAACTTAGCTTAAAATTTCCTTCCAGTGCCACATTTGGGCTAAATGATACAGAGACATTTCCACCCTGACCATAAGAGACCACAGCCTGAGAGTCATTATCACGTGTGTTTGGGCACACCCACTAGGGAATCTCCCAGGGCAACATTGTTGTACTTCTCAATGACAACTCATTGTCTCTATGTCACATGATACCACCCCTTATAAATGGACAGGGCCCAGAAAATGGAATTTTATATTTAAAGGAAAGTGGCAAACACTTCTGAGGGCTTGACAAGGGTTCTTCAGTGTTTCTTAAAACTCAAATCCTGTGCCTGGAAAGATGGCTCAGTCAGCAAAGTGCTTGCCGTACAAGAATAAAGACCTGAGCTTCATCCCCAGCACCGAAATGAAATTTGAGCGTGTGACAAGCACTAGTAGTAGCAGAATTGGGAAGGTCGCATCAAATATAACCCTGACCTCAGTCATCCTAACTAAATCAGCACACACACACACACACACACACACACACACACACACACACAGAGGCACACACACAAACACTCAGATCCTGGCTCTCATTCTGAGTTTCGGATTCAGTAAGTCTAAGAAAAACTTGATGAATATGAATCTGTTCTAACAAAATCCCAGGTGGACATCGATGTTACTGGTCTGGGGACCATGTGTTCATAATCACTTTAAACTTTGGACAACTAAATCGGTGAATCAGACTGGCAAAACCTCCTCTCTGTCATAACATGTTGTCCTGTGTTTTGTTTTTCCAAATGTATAAGAGTTGGAACTACAGTGACTCCACTTAATCATTGCAGATGGGAGTAGACGTTGGTATGAACTTGGAAGTAAAAAAAAAAATTAGTATTGCCAGGTGTTGGTGGCACATGCCTTTAATCCCAGCACTTGGGAGGCAGAGGCAGACGGATCTCTGTGAGTTCGAGTCTAGCCTGGTCTACAGAGCGAGTTCTAGGACAGTCTGGAAAAACCAAAAACAAAACAACAACAACAAAAAGTAAGTATCAACTCCACCTAATAAATCTCAAGGGTAGGTATCTCTAAGGAAATAATCAGAAATGAAAGCTACAGCAATAATAAGTAAGAATAAGGTAATAAGTCATTAAATGTCAATTTGCAAAACTAGAAGGGAGTCACCTAGGCGTATGACTCAGACCTTCTAACGGAAAGTCCATTGCCTTTATATTGCATCATACCACTCCTTAAAGCACAAAGGTGGCTTTGTATAAAATGCTAGACATATGGAAATTACATGTGAATGCAACCGTTAATAAATTACAGTAATCCCCCGTAGTGGGATATTATGCCATCATCAAAGTACTTGAAAGATTTTAATGACAAGATACAAAGCTTATGGTATTTTATTCAGTGGAGTCCAGGACAGCCTGGGGAGATAGCCTAGTCACTAAAGCACTTGCCTTTCAAACAGGAGGATTTGAGGTCAATCCCCAGAGCCTATAACCTATAAGAAAAAGCCAAGCATGGGGCTGGAGAGATGACCCTGTGCTTCAAGGCTCCTATTGCTCTCCCAGGGCACTGAGTTTGTTTTCCAGCACAGACACAGACATGGAGTGGCTCACACTGACCTGTAACCACAAGTCTCAGGGATCTGACCTCTTCTGGTCTCCTCAGGCACTCCATGCATGTGCACAATTCACCCCTACCATGCATAGACATTATTAAAAATTCAAATAAGTCTTAAAAGAAAAGACAGGTGTGGTGATGTGTGCTTGTAACCCCAGTGTTGTGGAGGCAGGAACTGGTGGATCCACAGGGCTCACCACCTTCCTGTCTGGTTTGCTTAGCAAGTTCCAGGCCAATGAGAGACCTCAAACAGAGAAAGCTGGATGGCACCTGAGAAACAACATGGGAAGGTTGTTTCCTAGCCTTTATGGGCATGTGCACACATGTGCAACTGTGCACACGTACACATAACATATGCACACACACAAAAGAAAAGCTTAAAACACGAGTTACTTGTAAGATAGATCAACTATGCCTTATATACCTCCTTCTGCCCTTCCCTTACAACATGTTAGCTAAAGAACACACTGAAATGTTAACACGATGGTTTTGGGATAGTAGCATATTTGTACTTTAAATGCTAACCTTTTCTTTCATACCCAATCTCCTGAAATACCGTTCTCCAATCATAATACCCTCCCCAAAGAGACTGCATATCGAGAGAGCTCATCCCTCCAGTTGGTATGTGATTGGATACTGTACAGACACCTGACCAAGGTGAATCCATTAGTGGCTCTTGTAAGTTTGGAGTGAAAAGCACCCAAACTGTGGTTAGATAGTTATTGTGGCCTGTATTCATGTAGATGTAGGGTGTGTGAGCATCTTAGGCCAGCACCAGTAGAGGAGGCTACTGTGGACCACAGCTTGATCAGCTACAATGGTCAGTACTATACAGGCTCACTAAGCAGCAAGCACATGCCACACCCATGAAAGTGCTATCAAATCTTCCATACAAACTTGAATGGGGAAGGACCACATGTATGAAACCATTGCAGCTCTGATCTTTTATGCTTCCAGTAAGCTCTCTTCTGGCCCTGAGTGAGTTCCTCTTCCTTGTAGTAATTACATCCCAAATTATCAGGTGCCTGCTCATTTATATAACTTTGTTTGTTCTTACTCTGCTGAGTGTTTTTAATTCTATTGTTAACAAGACAGTGTGACTAAAATTACAGTAATGAGCTGTGGCAACAAAACAAAACAAATGAAAAAATACCCATCAAAACAAGCCTATTTCCATGAGACTTTCCCCTCTGGGTTCCCTGCCCCTCCTCAGACACTCCTATTTCTCACACCCACCTTCAGAGCTGGGAGGTTCTGTTTGGTACAAAATCCAGGAGACACTTTGTTTGAAATTTGGAAAATATCAAAGCAAAATTCTTTTCCTGTCTTGGGCTAAGATGATTCCAACAGCAGAGACCAATGCAGAATGAAGGATTCAGAGCGTGGCTCTCCCTGTTGATTTATAGACGTGAAGACTGGAATGGATGAGTCATGGGCAAATGGGATTAGGAGGGGCTGCTGCAGAGCAACCCACAATTTGTCATCAAACTCTACTGCGACACCACACCAGTACAGCTGTGGTTTATCGCTTGTAGAAATCTACAGGAATGCCACACAGTTGCTTACCACTGTCCAGATTCCTGTGGGGTCGTGTGGCTCAAGCTGTGATGTAATCATGATAGGACCGTTAGGAACAGGTCTGCAGGTTCTTCTTATCTCTCAGGGTCATCATACCACTCAGAGAAATCCGTCTTTTTCAACCAGTGATCAAATATTAACTAGAAAATGGCAGAAATTCTTTTTTTTAAATTTTTTTTTGAGACAGGGTTTCTCTGTATTGTTTTGGAGGCTGTCCTGGAACACGCTCTGTAGACCAGGCTGGCCTCGAACTCACAGAGATCCACCTGCCTGTGCCTCCTGAGTGCTGGGATTAAAGGCATGTGCCACCCACACCCGACCAGAAATTCATTTTTATACTTTTTCAATATGCTGGAGGATCTTTGAGAGCAAGGACTGATTTTTACTAGGTTTCTGGTTTATCTTCAGTTTATTGGAGGAATGAAAAATGTTCATAATGGGTATGAAGACATGTGCATAAGGAATGAATATTTGGAAGCAACTTCCCAAGACATCCAATTTGAGGCATTTGAAATCATGATCTGGAAGCCTGGAACGGTGTTGGAGATAAAATAGTGATGCAATTTTAGGTTTTCCAAAAGTTTACATGTTCTAAAAGGAAGTTTGTCAAGAAGGAGAAAATTACTGGCATTTTTTAATAAAAGAGGAAATTTAAACCAGCGAGGCTCATTAAGTAGATCTAAGACAGCTGCTGTGTCCACTGGGGAAGTCATTTGGAGCTAAAATTGTTGAACACAGAGAGAATTGGGGACATTTTTTCTCCCAGAGATTCCAAAGCCTATGAAAGAACATGCAGGCTTAAAACATCTTATCAAGATGGATTTATGTTTACATCTGCAATTGATCCAATTTTAAAAATGAATCTATTTACTTATTTTTATTTGGGTGCATGTATGTGTGGCTGTTGCTATGTTCAGATGCTAGTGGGGACCAGGCATTTGTGAGATGCTGGATATGGGTCCAGGGAACCCAACCTGGGGCCTCTGCAAGAGCAGCAAGTGCTTTTATCTTCTGAGTCATCTCTCCAGGCCCCCAAATGATCTGATTTTATTTAACAATCATAGCCTACTGTTGTATCATTGAAGTAAAATACCATATACACTCAAAATACCAACCAAATGTATCAGGGTTGAAGAATAGGAATATGGGGGTCTATAATGAGGGGAGAAGAAAACAGAAATTGATTTTTCTTTTTTTAAGGAGTGGTTTATCAGGTAGTGTTTGTTGTATAACAAATGATACCACTTTATGACTTAAAGTACACTGCTGATCATCTCAGTTTCTTGGATTGACTACGAAGGTCTATATTGGCAGGCTCAGTAATCCATAGGCCTTACTTGTGTCTGCTCAGTCACCCTGTATGTAAGAAGAGGCTCAGTGGCCTACAGTGTCCTTGTTCACAGAGCCACAGTAGAATTACTCTTTGAAGAAGCCAGCTGCTTCTCTACATGGCTTTCTTATTTTCAGTATGAGGTAGCTTTCCTAGTAATCCTGGGGTCAGTGACACATCAAGGGGCAATCCCGTTGCTCAGGTACTTTACAAATTTTAGTTTGAGTTACCTTTGTTGATTGGTCAGAGTAAGTCACATGACCAACTACAGTCAAAAAATGGGAGAAACAGATCTTATGTCTTGACAGGAAGGCCATAATTTTTGGCCTTTTATGCAATCTGTTGAACTAGGTAGTACAACATGTCCATGGAAAAGTAAAGATAGAAATACCAAAGACACTGTCAGGTCTCAGATCAACATATTACTACCTGTCCAAAGGGTTTCTTGGGGCAAGGCACCCATGGAAACAGATTCTCACTTGGCAAGGACCAGTAGACTGTGGGACAGCATAGCAATTTTTCAAAATTCATCAGCTTGCAGACTCTTTTCTCTCTCATTATATTGTTGATTCTTTGTGTGGTTTTTAGTTTTACTTTGTCAGTCACACATGCAACAGCTGTAATTTTCCCTGGAAATTCTCTTCTTTCTGAAACATTTCCCCCTAAGATTCAGCAAGGAGGATAATGCTTCTTAAATCCCTTATCTGGAATTTCTAATCTTGGGAACTTTTCTGTCTCAATAGAGATAGTTAGGTACATATGAGAAAACAACACTTGGAACATTAACCATGTCTCACAATTCTGGAAAAGAGAGTAAGGCATACATATACAGGACAGGCAGAAAGTCTCAGGAATACACATAGTGTCAACAGTTGAGAGTAAGTTCCCTGGACACCAAGCATAGAATCATTGGTGGGATCTAGTATGGTACAATGGGAAAAAATGCAATGTAAATTATGGGATGTATAGATCCATCTTTACCACACACAGGAGCTTATATTGGTGGAAGAAGTATGGTATACTGAGACGGGAAGAGAGCGCTTTGTCAAAGTCTGCCTCTGGCAGAGATTGAGACATGGGACCCTCTTGTGGAAAAGGACACTGTCTAAAATCATATCTGGCAGACATGAAAGAACTGTCTGGGTTGAAATATTGTTGTCCTTAAAGCATTGTACCCATGTCTATTGCTGTTGTAAACACAAGTAGCTGCCGGCTGACATAAGTACTGCAAGAGCAGGATGTGTCTGGCTTGATATTTAGTTAAGCCTGCAAAGATGCTGAACTCTATGTCTAGAATAAGGTTATGTAGGAGGTGGGAAGGTGTACTGGGGAAGCATAAAGGAGAACAATGGGGGCTCTTTTATAATGATTATGATGTTATTTCTTAAAAGTAAAAAAAAAATAGGAGCCAATAATAAAGCTGTTCATGTAAGCCTGGTAGAAAACACATGTTAAAGTGTAAATAAAAGTGGCTCAAGGTATTTGGGACCACTTGGGTGCAATCTATCTGGTGGCCAGATTTTTTCCTTGTGCCAACACCCCTTCCTTATCTTAGCTGAGGCTGAGGCTGGACCCTGGCAAGACACAATCCTTGTCTGTAGAGATTCATTATTCCCAGGTAGCTAAAGCTGTACCTGATTAAAACAGTTCAGCTAGGAAAACATACTTAAGGATGATCTGGGTTTTGTTATCTCAGAATGCAGTATAATATTGGGAATATAACCTGAGTGGTGGTGGCGCACACCTTTAAATGCCAGGACTGGGAGGCAGATCTCTGAGTTCAAAGCCAGCCTGGTCTACAGAACAACATGTTCCAGGATAGCTAGGGCTACACAGAGAAATGCTGTCTTGAGGGAAAAAAAGAGAATTTATAGCTACAAATACCATCATGGGACAATACCAAACATGTGCTGAGATCGTTGTGACTTAAAATTAGGCAGGCAGTGATAATTCCCTTGGAATACCTGCCAATCCAGCCTTCTTGGTTCCATCAGGAGAGAAGACCTAGCTTTTCTTTTCCAGGGCAGGAATTAAGGCCTGGGTGGTAGAAAGTGAATGAATGGGTGACAACATCTGGGGAGCCTAGTTATTTACATCAATATCAGGACTTAGTAGCATGTGAGTGTCATGCCTTGCCCCAGAGGAAATCCTTTGAATTAATAATAAGCTTAAGACTATGACCTAGAGGAAAGATTAGGAAACATTCAGAAGGCAGGTAGAAGATACATGATAGTCACCTGAAGCAGTTAAATGGTGTCCTTTTTAAAAGTCATTACCTGTTTTTGTATGTGGACACCCACATATATGGCATGGTACACATCTGGAAGCTGAAGACTAACCCAAGGAGTCGGTTCTCTCCTTCCACCTTGTGGATCCTGGGGATTGAACTCAGGTCACCAGGCTTGGTGGCAAGTGCCTTTAATGGCTGAGACTTTTTAAGTTGGTGAGCCAGGGAAGACTTTCATGTCATCTGTCACTAAAGATCTGGGTCAGCATTGGCAACCATGCCACTGCATTTTCTCACTGAAGCACTGAAGCATTCTGACTGGATGGTTTGCCAAGTTTCCTCCATCTCTAACCTTTTTAGGGGAGCTGAAAATAGAAAAGAATAGACGTACACCAAATGGAACGAGAATGATTGACAGGGTCCCCTTCAGCGCTATCAAGAAGATCAGAAATGTCCAGAGCTTTAAATTCATGGAACAGCTCTCTGATTTATTTAATAGCTATTATCTGAACATCTCCCGAAACACTCCAAGGAAACCTAGTAGTTAGTGACTAGCTGATCCTCCCCACAGGAGGATGACTGGGTCATTTGGGTTTGATCCAATTACTCTAGAGAAATTCACTGAGCAGGACTTACAAGAGTAAGTATCTAGCTGCAGTACTGAACCATTTCTAGAGAAGAGTGAGGTTGGGTTTGCCAGAAACAGGAAGGCTGATGCAGTAGCCAGGGTTCCATAAGGCACACACTGATATTGCTTATAGGATGTGGTCCTGGTAGTTCAACGATAGTCAGCTCAGAAGCAGAGAGGCTGAGAATCTGCTAGTTGCTCAGTCCAGGAGGCTTCATGTCTCTGCAGTCCCAGACGTGCACTTAAGGCCAGGAGTATTCCTGGAGAGCTGCCACTTGGAAACTCAAAGAAGCTTGTTCTAAGATTAGAGGAGGAATGAAGCAACAAGACGGATGAACTTGCCAGGAGAAAAGGCAAACAAGCAGGAAGAGAAGTTTCCATATTCCATTTCCTTTCACCTGGGCTGTTATCAGAAGGTGCCACTCACATCGAGGGTGGGCTCTTACTGCTTCAAACGATCTGATCAAGGGAATTTCTTGCTGGCATGCCTACTGGCTTCCATCTTAGTTGATTACAGATCTAGTCTGACTGACAACCTGTGAGGAGCCGCCCTCGCTATCGCTATTGCCGTTAGAAGATGGCGCTGACATCTGCTGTCAGTTGGAGTTAACCGTTAGAAGATGGCGCTGACATCTGCTGTCAGTTGGAGTTAACCGTTTAAGCTGTGCCTCTCCCGTGGCGTCATCTGGGGTGATGTGCAAACCACCAATCCCGGCTCTACACGTCTCACTCGGAGCTCCTAGGCTTATATAAGGGGCTGGGTTTCTTAGCTTGGGGTCTCCCTCTAAGAAGCTGATCATCTATCTCTCAAGATGCATTAAAGCTTTACTGCAGAAGGATCCGAGTGTTCTGCGTCGTTCTTGCTGGCGAGACGGTAGCGCGGGACATCTGGTGCCGAAACCCGGGAACTCTTCAACATCGCCGGCGCCGCGGGAGACCCCTCGGAAGACGGGGCGGATTCAGAACTGCAGGGACGTAAGTTCAGAGAGGTATGCTTTATCCTGAATACCCCCTTTCTCGACTTTGGCCTTAGTTTGTCATCACCGTGGGACGGGTCAGTGGAGGCTTTGGTGCTAGTCCTGTTTGTCCTTCTCCTTCATCGTGGCTGGTGCTGACAGAACGGTGCTGTCAGTCTGGTGCTGTCAGTCTGGTGCTGTCAGTCTGGTGCTGTCAGTCTGGTGCTGTCAGTCTGGTAACGGAGTTGAGCGCCGTTTTTAGATAAGCCGCTAGCGCGATGGGGTTGTCACAGTCAGTGGTTACTGCCCTACAGACTGTGCTAAAACAAAGAGATCTTAAAATTGCACCACGAACACTTCAAAATTTTGTGAAGGAGGTAGATAGAGTGGCACCATGGTATGCTTGTTCCGGGTCCCTCACTGTGGCCTCATGGAACAAGCTAGGTAAAGAACTAGACAGGAAGCATGCAGAAGGAGATCTCCACTTAGGTACCAAAGCCATTTGGAAGCTAGTTAAAAACTGCTTGGAGGATGAGGCCTGTCACCCTGCTATAATAGAAAGTCAGGGAACCTTAGAGGAAGTTCAGGATAGCATGTCAGAAACTGAACGGAGTGAGAGAATGGGAGCTCGCAAAAGGAAAGACATGTCTAAGAAAAAAGGCCCTCCCCAAGAAGTTAAGAAAGGGGAGAGAAAGAAGGGAGTGATCATTCACCCCCTAACAAATCTAAGAAAAAGAAAAAGCCAGAATCTAGGCTATACCCTACAGTAGAGCTAGAAGCCTTGGAGCTAGATAATTCTGATTCTGACACTCTGTATTCTAGCGAAGAAGGTGGTCTAGAGGAGGAGGTGGCACGGTATGAGGAAGAAAGATATCACCCTGATAGACACCGGCCGCTGAAAACAAAAATGAATGTGAGGCCACCACCTATAAATCCGGCGGGCTCACGCCCCTCAGCGCCTCCGCAGTATGAGCTTCGGCTGAATACTGGTACTGACTCCTTTTTACCTTTAGAGGAACGGAGAAAAATACAAATGGCTTTTCCAGTATTCGAGAATG